ACAAAATTTGTAGAGTCATCTCCTAGCTCTAATTTGAGTATTTTCTTGTCTTTTTGATAAACAATTTTTTCTATTTTTACTTTCTACATGCCCTCTCATGGCATTAGGTGCTTTTACTTTCATAGATATTCTTCTTTTGATTTCTATTTGTTCAACACATAAACTACTTGTTTAACTTGCAGAGATGTAATGATCGAGTACAGTAAGTAAGTCATGAGCTTGGGGCTCACTCTGTATGAATTACTCTCGGAGGCTCTCGGCCTCAACTTCAATCACCTGAAAGACATGGGTTGTGCTGAGGGGCTCTTCCTCCTCGGCCATTACTACCCTCAATGCCCAGAACCGAAATTGACTTTTGGCACTATCAACCATAGTGATAGTGGATTTCTTACTATACTTCTGCAAGGACAAATGGGTGGCCTTCAAGTCCTCCATGAAAATCAATGGTTTGATGTGCCCTTCTTGCTCGGAGCTTTAGTAGTTAACGTTGGGGATCTCCTACAGGCAAGTATATATTTCATTGAAATTGATTCTTTTCAGAGAAGTTTTTATTGAATTTATATTCAAAGACTATAAATTGTTGTCTACTAATTGGTTTGCATTGGCCATTTGGGGTGTAGATTTAACTCTACTTTTTTAACTGTCTTAGAAAGACCAAAAAACTACATATCAAACAGACTGAACATTTCTATGTGTTTAGACCATATTCTACAATTTTTGGTCAATAAATAATGAATGACATCTGCCTAAAAACTAAATCAGCCAAAGAGGATTGCCACATGACATTAACTTAATCAGTAGGGAAAGAGATAGAGCCAATCGATGTGGCTGTTTCAATCCCAAAGATAATTACAGCCCATGTAATGGAGGGAATAAAATGGTTATTTTGAAATTCAAAAAGGTAGCAGTTATCAAGGTGAAATGTTCCCAAGAGTATGGAAAATAGCAATTAAAGTAAGAGAAAAACTGAGAGAAAACAGCCTGAAGAACCGTCAATGAAAAAATATCTATAAACGAGGCATTGCAAGAAAAGGAGACGATCAAACCCACAAAAAAAATCCATGACTTAGGCATTTTTTGGAATAATGTTAGATTGGTATTATGTTAGAATTAGTGCTCGAGGTTGATTCATCTGTCTGTTGCAAGTCATAACCATTCACAAATTTGCTTGAGGCAGATTCATTAGTCTGTGTAACCCATAACATTTTACAGATTAATAAAAGTGTCCTTCCTTTTGTTCATTTTTTTATTGTCATTTTACTTGCTTTGAATTCGTTGATTGTTATCATCCTAGGAAGTCCTAAAACAAGGTAATTGAACCAAACATCAATCAATCGTCTGAGATCGCTTTGTTGAATGATTATGTCTATCGATTGTGAGAGAAAATTCTTTTTGTAGACCAACAATTTTTGGCATGCCTGGTGGGACAATGTTACCAACTTGGATCAAGAATGGTACAAATGGGTCAAAGATGGCTCATAATCACCCTAGAGGAGGTCGTGAGAGGCGTCCCATGCTTCTTGTAGATCTAATCATGGAGATAAACCCCATACTTAGGGGCAACCTTTGATTCCATTTGAGACCCCATAAATTCACAATAACATGGCTGTCAATAGAAACTAATTAATGAAAATGATTCAAAATCTGTATGGTACTACCATCTAAAGACATAAAGACCAATTTTTTGAAAGTCATACTACCTTGGGTTGGCTTTGAGCAATTCCCCAGAGGGTATAAAATCCTGAATTTATCTTGACCTTTGAAGAAGAGGACCTATTCATCGATTTGCCAGCCAATTCAATTTAGACATGGCAGGAGATGGAAGAACAATTTCATGCTCAATTCTTTAGGTACGAACCATATGTGTTGATGGAAGACTTGTCTAGATTGAGGTATAAGCCCAAACGAGTCTACAAAAGAACACATCGATAGGTTTAAAAAGGAAAGAAACAAATGTTACGTTTTATATGCCTGATGTAAAATCACTACAACAAAAAGTATTTTTTTCGACATTTCTTTTGTGACGATTTCTAATTTGTCACCAAAAGTTTACTATTAGCGACGATTTTATAATTTTGTCGCAACTTTCAATTTTGTTAATTTTCAATAAAAAGGCGATTTCCTCCTTGTTTTTTGGTGGGAAAAATGGCAGGAATTGGCAATTTAATTGATTTTTTACGACTTTTTTAAAAAATGTCGCAATAAACTTTTTACGTTAAATAAAAGTTTTAAAAAATAACAATGTAATTGATTTTTTGCGACGTTTTTAAAAACGTCGCAAATAAATTTTTTACGTAAATGAAAGATTTGAAAAAAAAATTTTAATTGGTTTTTCGTGACGTTTTTAATAAACATCGCAAATAAACTTTTTACTTAAATAAAAGATTTGAAAAAAACATTAATTGATTTTTTTTGACATTTTTAAAAAACGTCGCAAATAAACTTTTTACTTAAATAAAAGATATGAAAAAAAATAATTTAATTGATTTTTTGCGACGTTAATAAACTTTTTACGTAAGTAAAAGATTTGAAAAAACAATTTAATTGATTTTTCGCGACGTTTTTGAACAATGTCGCAAATAAACTTTTTACTTAAATAAAAGATTTGAAAAAAAACAATTTAATTGATTTTTTGCGACGTTTTTAAAAACGTCGCAAACAAACTTTTTTGTAAATAAAAGATTTGAAAAAATATTTTAATTGATTTTTCGCGATGTTTTTTAAAAACGTCGCAAATAAACTTTTTACTTAAATAAAAGATTTAAAAAAAATAATAATTTAATTAATTTTGCGCGACATTTCTAAAAACGTCGCCAATAAACTTTTTCGTAAATAAAATATTTGAAAAAAATAAATTAATTGATTTTTTGCGATGTTTTTTAAAAACGTCGCAAATAAACTTTTTACGTAAAATAAAAGTTTTAAAAAATAACAATGTAATTGATTTTTCGCGACGTGTTTAAAAAACATCACAAATAAACTTTTTACTTAAATAAAAGATTTGAAAAAAAAACAATTTAATTGATTTTTCGCGACGTTTTTAAAAAACGTCGCAAATAAACTTTTTACATAAATAAAGATTTGAAAAACAAAACAATTGAATTGATTTTGCGCGATGTTTTTAAAAAACGTCGCAAATAAAATTTTTACGTAAATAAAAGATTTGAAAAAATACAAATTAATTGATTTTGCGCGACGTTTTTAAAAAACGTTGCAAATAAACTAGTTAACATTAAATTAATAAAATAAACTTTCAATTTCATTCAATGAGCACTCAATTCATTAAATTAACATTCAAATTTTCAAATTAACATTCAGATTCGACTAGTTAATATTAAATTAATCAAATAAATTTTCAATTTCATTCAATGAACACTCAATTCATCAAATTAATATTCAAATTATCAAATTAACATTCAGATTTATCAAATTGACATACAATTTCATCAAATTAACATGTAATTTCATTAAATTAACACCAAATTAACTTGTAATTTCATCAAATTAACACCAAATTAACATGTTAACTAGTTGAATTTGAATGTTAATTTAGTGAATTAAATGCTTATTAAAAAAAATTGAATATTAATTAGATAAAATTGATTGTTAATTTGGTGTTAATTTGATGAATTGAATGTTAATTTGGTGTCGATTTGATGAAATTACCTGTTAATTTGATGAATTGAATGTTAATTTAATGAAATTGAAATTTTATTTGATTAATTGAATGTTAATTAGTTGAATTAACATGTTAATTTAGTGAATTAAATGCTTATTAGAAAAAAATAAATGTTAATTAGATGAATTGATTGTTAATTTGATGAATTGAACGTTAATTTAGTGTTGATTTGATGAAATTACATGTTAATTTGATCAAATTGAATGACAATTTGATAAATTTGAATGTTATGGTTTTAATTTGAATGTTAATTTGATGGATTGAGTGTTAATTTAATGAAATTTGAATGTTAATTTAGTGAATTAAATGCTTATTAGAAAAAATTGAATGTTAATTAGAAAAAATTGAGTGTTAATTCAAAAAATTGAATATTAATTTGTTGAATTGAATGGTAATTTGGTTTTAATTTGATAAATTAAATTTTAATTGGATGAAATTATATGTTAATTTGATGTTGATTTGATGAAATTACATGTTAATTTGATGAAATTGTATGTCAATTTGGTAAATCTGAATGTTAATTTGATAATTTGAATGTTAATTTGATGAAATGAGTGTTAATTGAATGAATTTGAAAGTTTATTTGACTAATTTAATGTTAACTAGTTGAATTTGAATGTTAATTTAGTGAAATTGTATGTCAATTTGATAAATCTGAATGTTAATTTGATAATTTGAATGTTAATTTGATGAACTGAGTGTTAATTGAATGAAATTGAAAGTTTATTTGATTAATTTAATGTTAACTAGTTGAATTTGAATGTTAATTTAGTGAATTAAATGCTTATTAGAAAAAATTGAATGTTAATTAGATGAAATTGAGTGTTAATTTAATGAATTGAATGTTAATTTGATGTTGATTTGATGAAATTACATGTTAATTTGATAATTTGAATGTTAATTTGTTGAATTGGGTGTTAATTGAATGAAATTTAAAGTTTATTTGATTAATTTAAATGTTTACTACCTGCAACGTTTTTTCAATTTTGTCGCAAATTTCATTTTTTGGTAATTTTATTTGCGACGTTTTTAAAAAACGTCGTTAAAAAAGTGATTCCCTCCCAATTTTTTTCGGACTGAGATATGGCGGGAATTGATTAGTTTTAGTTTTTGAAGCAAATAAAATATTAATATTTTTTTGCGACGTTTTTAGGAATCCGTCGCAGATAATAATTTTTATGTTTGTATTAAATAAAATTATTATTTAGCGACGTTTTTATATTTGTCGCAAAATTCAATTTATACTCAAAACGACGTCGTTTTGAGTATTTAAATACGTCCTCCATTTGGCCCTAGCAGCTCCTTCTTCTTCACATTCCCCTTTCCACTTTCCACACTCTCTCTCTCATTCACCGTCTCCCTCTCTCTTTGTTTTTCTGTCTCATTCCCCCCTCTTTGTTCCCTCTCTTTATACTTCGTTAGCCCCTTGTCTCTCTCAATCCGAATCAAAGACAGCTACCACCTCCGGCACCATCAACACCTCACCTCCGGAACCGTAGCTTGAATCGGCATTGTGGAGAAGCAGTAACCCTAGCTTTAATTGGCGATCTTTGAATTCTAGAGTGAGAGCTTGAATCAGGTTTCAATCTCTCTTCTCTAGATCTGAATTTTTTTTTTTTTGCTTTTTTCTGTATATATTGGACTGTTCGGTTAGTAAACTTGAATGCCGGTTTAATTTCATTTCTATTAAAGTGAGATTTTTTTCAACTTTTGGGCATTTTCTGTTTTTTCCCCTTTTGTTTTGCCCTAAATCGTTCCAGACTAGCGACCACAGCCTCCCCTTTTGTTGAATCCCTAACAGTATCCAGCTGACAGTTTGTTGAATTTAATTTTTTTGACCTTACTATTTCTTAGTTTCTTTATAAATAAAAAATCATTTGTATATTGGACTTTTAGTCTGCTTTGGACACAACCCTCATGATAGTTATGGCTAAGACGGGACTCTACAGTTGTAAGTGGGGAAGAATGCCAGTTGTGTATTGTGGGAAATTGACAACCTTGTGCATTCATAGCCCATTATGTCCTTAGATTAGAAGAACAACTGTAAGAGGCCTAGCTTTGATACCGTATAAGAGCATCTAATTCAAAATTAATCGGTAATGGGAAGAGTGTCCCTCTCGAGTATGTAAATAATCTTGTTTGTTCCTAATTTTTTGTTGTGGGATACAAGCTCTCTTTACCCTAGGCAACTAAGTGGCTTAAATCTGCTGAAAGACTTTATGACAGTTATTTAGTTGACAACATAGCCTTGGACATTTGGAAGACAACCTCGTGTTACAGTTTATCAAGGTTGCAGTTCCAAGTGTGATGCTCCTGTATGCTTTTTTGAATGGTTTGTATTGTTCATCGTATTTCATGCCTCAACACCAAATTGGATATTCTGGGAAGATTTCACTTATCTGGATGTATCTCAATGCATGTTGAACAAAACCATTTTGCATGTGGCTGGAAAATACCTGGAGCCAGACATATCAGGATGTCTAGGACAATTTCTTGCCCTTGGTACCAATGTATATGTTCCGTTCCACTGTATATTCACTTGATTAGGTTGTTGGGTGTTTGTCATGGCATAACTTTATATGTTGAGTATGTGTATTAGGCAAGCATGTGCTGTGGAAAGCATTTAAAGATGACACTTATATCAACCGAGGAAACTTAAAACAGAGGTGGGATGATTTGAGTTGGTATACTCGAATTACGACATTGAAATATATATATATATATATATATATATATATATATATATATATATATATGTATTCATCCTTTTATTCTACGTGTGTTGAATAGAATTGGATGGTGCTTTGTGAAATGCCCATCCACTATTGTTTGCTTGTGTGTGTCTGTGAGAGAGAGAGGGAGAGAGTGTGTGTTGTGTGTTTTGGGGGGGGGGGGGTGTTTGTGAGTGACATATTTGTGTCTATGTTTGGCTGTTAGTTTACTGTTCTTGAATTTTCCTGATTGTGTGTAGAGGATATACTTGGGGCTTTTGAGAGGTGGAGTCATAGAGAGACCTTACCTGCTGATGCACATAAGAAGGTTGGTTAAGTAGTGTTGGTGTAATAGTGTATTTTGGATTGCTACTCTTATATTTGGATACTGAATATGCAGGTTAGGTTAATGTGCTCCTATTGTAAGAGGCATAATGAAACCGAAGTCCCAGATCCTTACCATAGTGGATCGCAAGGCTTCAAAAAGGTAACGCATAACTGATTCTTCTTTCTGTTGGAATGAGATATGATATCAGGAACAAATTATATTAGTTATTTTGAAAACCTGAAGAATCCAAAAATGTTTATATGAAGTGTTCCTGATGAGTTTTTACTTTCACAACTGCTTTCTTGGAAGTTTTAAGAGGAGAGACATGATGATTTCCTCACAATCATAAGATGCATCACCTTACATGACGAAAAGTACACAGACCTTTTAGAACAACATATGAACATAACAATTATTAGGAACTCATGTATCTAGAAGCCCCTGAGCATGGAACACCCACTTCCCATGGATGTATCGGCAAAACCAATGTTAAACAGTAGCATGTAGCCATGATGAACCAGTTCCACTGTTCTGTTGTGCATAGAAAATTGTTTTATGCTAAATGATCCCTTGTTCATAATGCCAAACCCACATCTAACTATAGTGAACCTATTGTGGTCACCGTGGCGGCCTATTGTTTTTCTGAAATTATTCATTGATTGGGATATTACCCTATGTTTTGCATCTTGGTTGGTACATGAGGATGAAAGCATTGTAGCCTTTTTTTTCCAGGTAAGTGTAATTTGACACCCCCACCCGCGGTTTCCTAATTGGTCCTTCCTGGGTTCAAGCATCAAGGCTATAATGATGAAACTTAAAAATAGGGCTTTCTCCTCTTGGCTAGTTATTGAAGGCCAATCTCTTCATTGTAAATGTGCCCGAAGAAGTCCCAGCTTTCATCCATGATCCTTTATTCTGCTTTAAGTTAAGCAGCTTTTGAAAACTTGCTTTCCTATATCTAACTGGTATGGATAGATGGCCCTTATATAATTGTTCTTTAGAAGGTGCACTAACATGGAGCCCTATTATTCATTATTGCTTGCAGGTTTAACCAACTTATCCAAATTTTAGTAATGTTTATACCCCTTGAATTTTGACTGGACGTTGTATATTTGGAATGAAATTGCACTCATTCACTTGTTTTGTATGTAACAGAAAAGAAAGGACAACTATTCAATTCCTACCAAGTACTAAATGGAGACAAAATTTGCCCTATTCAGCCTTTGAGTTCACACTATTAGGCTCATCTCATGAGCAAAATGCACCATTCCTTATGCAATTGGTGTTATTTCAGACAATTATCTTTTTTTATGCACACAGAAAAGGTGTCATTCTGTTTCTTCATGTCTTGTTTGAGATTGGTAGTTAATTCTGCTCATGTAACTATGTTTCTTATTTTATGCTTTAAAAGATTTCTTTTTTTATTCTTTTGAGGTGAACTGGGAACATCAACATGTCTGATGAAATATGAACATTGACTATTGGGAAATAATCCAAGGAAAATTAATTTTGCAAGGGGATTTTCCTGTAAAATATGTTGTATAGGAAACAGCTAGCTAATGCTGTGATCCTTTGTTTGGTCTTCGAGCTAACCTTGTACATTTTTTCACTGTGATTGAATATGTTTTCCTTCCTCACTATTAACAGTTTTCCCTCATTATAATTTTGCTTTCTTAATGCTAGGTATGAAATATTTGTCATGGTGCAAGGTTTGTGCTTGCTGTAGGCTGTATTATTAATTCAGGAAACCTTACCAAATCTGACATGCGCACAAATGTTTTGAAGCTATCATCTGTCCTCTGACATCATTAAACTTTCCTTTCAGCTACTCTTGGATTTTCTGATCTTCTCTGTTGCTAGTTTTTCGCCTTTGATGAGGTATCCTGCTCTGGGTGACAAGGAATTGATGGCTATTGTTGAGAAATTCATTTTGGAACAATTAAACTTGATAAAAGTTTCAATATCAGAGATTAAGGTAATGAATGCATGCTCTTCAGTTTCTTGCTACTGTAAGAATCAAGTTATAAAATTTTACCTTTGTTAAAAAAAAAATGATACTGTTCATTTCTCCAATGAACAAAATATCCACAAGTTAGATTCTTGGGATCTATGACAGTTTCACTTATATTAATCGTTCATTTTTTGTCTGTGGCATTTCTGGTGCCTTTGTCATTATTTGGAGGTTCTGGAAACTATGTCTCCGCTTTGTACATTGTAGCAGTAAAAGCTAATGCATTGGAAAAGGTTGAATCCGAGCTTTTTGACCTTGTTGAGGCTTCAAAGAAAAGACCCACATTTTCTCAATTCACGAAGGATTCGTCAGTACCTGATGATACTAGAGGTACTGACGATACTAGAGTAAAGGCTATTAATGAAGTTTGTGCTCAACATAAATTTTCGGACTTCACAAATAACTTTTTTGTTATGATGATTTGTTAGTGATCACTTTTGTTAATGTATTAAAATATTTTGGGAAACTTGTATGTAAATTACGTTGTTGGATATTTTGATGATTTGTGTAACTTTTATTTAGTGTATTATATATATATATATATATATATATATATATATATATATATATATATATATATATATATATATATATATATATATATTGTTTTTTTTTAGTATGATATTTGATGTTAGTTTGTGTTGGTTGTTGGATGGAAAAGATGTGAAATGTATTAATTTTGTTAGTTTTTTATTGAACACATACATTAGTAGTGTACAGGTGAAAATTTTTACTGGAATACAATTTTTTATGAAAGGTTATTTTTAAAAAAATGAACTTTTTGCGATGAAATTAAAACTAAAAATTGTACGAACAATCTTTTAGCGATGATTTTTTAATGTCACAAATGTATTTATTCAATTATTTTTTACATTTTTAATTTATATAAAAATTTATTTACTACGATTTTTTTTATGTTGCAAAAAATTAATTAAATTATTATTTTTTATATTTTTTATTCATATAAATTTATTTGTGACGTTTTTTTTTACGTCATGAAAAATTAATTAAATTATTATTTAAAAAAAAAATTTTTTGAAAAAATTATTTGCGACAATTTTTTTACGTTGCGAAAAATTATTATTTTTTATATTTTTTATTTATGTAAAAATTTATTCGCGACAAATTTTTTGCGTCGCGAAAAATTAATTAAATACATTTTTTTTTACTCTGTGGAATAGATTTTAGCGACGTTAGGGACGTGTTTTTTTCGTCGCAAAATAATTTTTTTGGCGATAAAAATAAAATTGCGTCACAAAATACTTTTTGCGACGAGACTATTGCTACGAACCCGCGACAAAAATAATTGTCACAAAAAACGATTTTTGTTGTAGTGAATTGATAAAATTAGCTCAGAATAGCTTAGATTTTGAATTAAGAAAGAAATTTGAGGGCATGGATTTGAGATTTGGTTGAACTCTCAGCTAGGGTCGCTAGATATTAAATGTCGCTCAAGAAAGAGCAGCAAAATGCACTGAGCACATATTACCAAGATCTAGATGTAGATGTAGAAATCGATATTACACAGATAATAGGAAAGTCTCTTGCTGTGTGTGATAGTTTAAAAAGAATAGAGGATTTAGTGAATATGCCATCATATCACTCATTCAAAAAGATACACCATCAACATATAGGAAGTATTCATTTGATTTGTCAATGGCTGATATTTTCTTTGATGAGAAGATTAACCAAAAATTCATACGTTTTCCTAGTGTAGGAAAGAGAAAGAATATTTCAAGTGACACAATTTATTTCAACACTCAAAATAATTGTTTTACTTTCAAAAATCATGTGCAAGATATGATACAAAAAATGATGCTTAAATATACAAACCAAGAAAAAGAAGCCAGGTGTGTTGATGATGATCTATTTCCCAACGAAGTGGAAATTAATGTGATTTATGTTAATACACATGAATCTATAAGGACTGCAAGTTCCACCATGAATGAAAAAATAGAGAAAGAAAATGAAAGGATAGTCCCAAAGATGAAACAACCAAATCTCAAGTAGGCTTGAACCCAAGCAGGAAGAGCCGTTGGTCATGTGTTGTAGATGTGCTAAGGAATTGGTTAAACCAAAAGCAATTTCTTTGGATGACATTGTGTCTGACTTTACAAACAGAGGAATTTTAGTCAGTACCATAGGAGAATGAGACATCCAAATCTGTAATGGTACCCAGAAAATCTTTGATGATGATGATCCAAGGATTTTCAAACTACAAGAAAAATATACTCATGGAAATGATCCATATCATTTTTTAGATGAGAAGTAGGCACCAAGAAACACAACTTACGATGAAAAAGACAAGAAGGAATGACTTCAGAAGATGGATCATGTGGCAAGGACTTCCAATGTAAAAGAAAGGGTATGGTAAAGGATAAAAAGTGAAGAATGCTTGAAAGAAAAGAGGCTAAGGCAGAAAGAAAGATTTGAAGCCAAGGTTGCAAGTGGTCCTATAATGATTGTGCCTTCTAGAGTAGAAGGAGACAACTAGCATCACCTCCAGCATCCTAAGTTTCCTTATGGTGGTTAGTATTAGCCACTAACCAGAACTCTAAAAAGAAGTAAACATAGGAAATTTTCCACTTAGATGAGTAGGTGAAACCCAACTCCCAGGAATACCTATTCATCGAAGGAGGGCCAACCCAAAGGGAAAAAGCAACATGTGACCTGGACTAGAGAGTAAGGTTAGAAAGAAGTAGAAAAAATCTAAAGTTGACAAGAAATTCTGGACCAAAAGATTGCAGAATTCAAACAAGTTCTGGATCTGAATAAAGAAACCCAAAAGAGAAAAGATAAAGTCCCTACCCCAAATCAAAAAGAATTGGAAAAAAATGAAGAAGATATGGGTCTAGAGGCTAATCTCATGAACCTTGGTGAAGAACTGGCCATCATTCAAGGAAAAACCCAACGTGAAATGATCATGACAAGTTTAGAGTAACCTAAACTGGAAGGGAAATTTGGTAAAGTTCGATCATATTTTAGACAAGCATGAACTTCAATACTTGTTGATGACAACCCAGTTTGGTGGACAATGTCAAGGATTGTAGGAGACATCATGCCAACAGGGATGAGAATAACATTGCAAGATTGAGACCAGAAACATACAACGACCCCAATCAACCACCAATTCATGGATAACGAAGAGGTTGAGAGCTTGATTAACTCGTATATCATTTGCTGCCTCAATTGGGAAGCAAAATGTTTCTCCATTCGCTCTACCCATTCTACCCACTATTGGTCTGGGTTGATCCAAGACCTTAGAGGATTGGTACCCTAGTCCCAAGACTTCCATTAGTGTTGAGACTGATGAAGCATTAGGGTTTCCCTTTTGGAGACATAACAGAAATCTACAAGTCCTTCAGAGACGTGGACTTGAAAAAAAGGCTAAGTGCGAGACTTGAACTCAAATTTGATGTGAGAATAAAAACCCTATGGTCTGTAGAAGTTTGGACAACATTTTTAACATCAAGGGGAAATCACAAAAAAAGGGATGTCCGTAGTTGAAGAAGAAGTAATTGGCTGACTCATTTATTTTTGGGTGCCATTTGAAGGTTTGAAAGAAATGAAGCAAAGGGAAATGCAGTAGAAGATAGAAATAAAGAAGTGGTACAAAGTGAAATGAATGGTGGGACTGTCAAATGATTATATAGTGCTTTGAAAGAAATAGTCGCGCCTGTTTGGTTCCCGCGCAAGTTCATTTATTTACCCAAATAAATGAGGGGCATTGTTTGGATCATATTCTATAATTTTTTAGTGAATAAATAATGAATAAGATCTGTCTAAAAAATGAATCAACCAAAGAGGATTGCCATGTAACATTAACTTAATCAGTAGGGGAAGAGATAGAGTCTGTTGATGTGACCTTTTCAAATCCATAGATAGTTGCATCCTCTGTGATGGTGGGAATAAAACAATTATTCTTGAATTCAGAAAGGCAGCAATTATCAAGGTGAAATGGGTCCTAGTAGTATGGACAATAATAGTTAAAGCAAGGGGGAAACTAGGAGAAAATTGCCTCAAGAAGTTGGTGTAACTGTCAATGAAGAGACACCTATAAAAGAGCTATTAATTACAAAAAAAAAAATGAGATGACCAAACCCATGAAAGACCCACGACTTGGGGTATTTTAGGAGTAGTGTTAGATTAATTTTAGGTTAGAATTAGTGCTTGAGGTTGATTCATTAGTCTGTTGTAACTTAGAACCTTTCAAAGATTAAAAAAATGTCTTTCTTTTTGTTAATCTTTTGATTGTCATTTTACTTGCTTTGACTCTGCCGATTGTTGTCATCTAAGGAAGTCTTGAAATAAGTTAGTTGAACCCAACATCAAGCAATCACTTGAGATCGCTCTGTTGAAGGATTATGTCTGTCGATTATGAGAGAAAATCTTTTGAAGTGACCAACACTATGACAATCTATAATATTGTAGTCATGCATTTCTACAAGTTATACAACGACAACGAACATAGAGAAATCATGTTTCTTAATAACTCACATAAAACCCTAAGACACCAAGGTGAATATACGACACAACCTTGAATTCACAAGGAACAATATGAGATCTGAAATATTGTTGATGACTGAATGAAGACTACTTAATAGATAAAGATTGTATGTAGTACATGAAACCCTAAGCCTGTGTAAATTGTGAATTAAAAGCCTAATAAAATGAAATTACCAAAAGTAAAGCGTGTTGAGTTTTCCTACTAAAAGAGAACTATATTTCATAATCTAGGAGATTAGACAAAATCAATAATAGTAATATGATCATTGGATAGAAATTTGAGAGAAAAATGAGGAAATTTGAGAGAAAATTTTTTAGATCACGACAAAGCTTTGAGTTTTGATCCTTGGACAGTTTGTAATTAAACAACGCAAATTTCGTTCCATTTTGACTTTGTCACTCATTTTTCTTCTACTACTGTTTTTTCGCCTTTGGTTTCATTGTGTAAAGTGTGATAGTTTCCTCACCACAAACTTTCCCTTTTGTTGTATGATTTTGAACAAATTAACTATTACCTCACCATTTCACTATCTCAATGTCTTCGCTTGTGTAGATCATCACCAATGATAGATTTAAAAGTGTCAATCATAGGGTATTGGCAAGAAATGTAGGTTCAAGAATTTCAATTGCTGGATTTTTCAGAACACACTTTGCAGAAGGGATTAC